CAATGCATTCTGGATTAATCCTTATATAACAAAATGGCAGCAAACAAAAGCTTTCCTTCCTCTTTGTTAGCCTCTATCTAAGCTACACCCTACAGAAGGCGTTTCCTTTAGCTTTAGCTTTGCAACTAGCTAAAAGAGACAGAAGAAAAACACAGAATTATTTATTCTCAACAGTAACAAGTCAGTGTGACTTAATATTTGTAATGTTCTTGAAACTGCTTATTTTTTAGACACCAAAATACAGCTGAGTGTTTTTTTTTTTAAGTGCTTGGGTTGATTTTAGAAGCAGTCGAGATCCAAACGGAAGCACAAAAAACAAACAAGACGTGAATTTAAACCAAACCTCACCTGGAACCAACGGTTTCATTTGGAAGTAGCTTCTGCCTGAGGTGCGAGGAAGCAAAGAGCGCCGAGGCGAAGAGCTCAGGTTCAGCTTTTAGACAGATTGACGCAGCAGCCAGCGTGTCGAGCTGCAGCGCGTGAGCACAGAGAGGAAGATGATGGGATTACAGACTAAAGCGAGATTGAACAAAGGGGAGAGCGGAAGCATTCGACTTTTATGTTTTCCTCCGACGATCCGGAACCACCTGAGCCCCGAATTGGGACCTCATCGCTGGCGAGGAGAGCCTCACCTCCTCTCTGATGAGCGCAGACGCTCATGAGCTCGGTGAGACGAGCGCCCGCATCAGGGCCGAGGCGACAGAACGGAGGCCAACTCACAGCGAGCCGAATCAAAAGACACAGAGGGAAATTAAAATGGCATCACACGTCGTTGCACAATAAAGTGCAGGAATTAAATTTTAAACCTCCTCTCCAACGAAATGCTTGCTTTCAATTACAATCAGCTGGTAGATAAAACTATTTGAACACATAAGGGAGCAATTATTTCTGCACCATTTACATCACAAATATGGCGTTTAGATGTGTGGAGATGATTTTAAACATGGAAATCCTCACTGAGACATTCAGAAGAAGTTTGATTTTTATTGTATTTTATGTTGAAAGAGGAGCTCAAACAAAAGAAAATTTCAATATACATCCTTAGTCTGAAAGCAAACATTACTTCTTTGGATAAACATTTACTTCCAAGTAGAGAAAAGATTGCTCTGCGCTCTTAGAGCCATTATGATCAAACTGGGAGCTGAAAATCAGACATTTTATCCCTCAAAGAGGAAGTTATAAAACTTATTTCTGATTTGTTCCTGGTTCTGTTCTGTTCAGCGATAAGAACAGGATGAACTGGTAGCAATTCAAGCTAATCACAAAGCCTTTTCAGAACATTAAGCGTGTAAAACCAGCAGCACCAAATCCATATTGGATTTTAAGATGAGTTGCTCAAATTTGTCCAAACTTAGAGACGTTTTCCAGTTTATTTTTCCAACTTGGGATTGGAAATGTGTTATTCAAATGTTTTTGGAAGCATCCGTTCATATTCTGATCAGGAAGAGAGCTCAAATAAAAGCTAACGTCCAAAAGTTGTATAGATTTTGTCACTTGATAAAATTCATAATGTTTAATGGAGCTTGCTAAAAGAATTTGTGTTCGATTTAAAGGGATATTATGGCTATTTGTCATGTACTGAACCTTAGGGCTGTTTATTACAGTTGCTAAGTGACACCTGAAGTATTGCACATAGTATTATAAATGTTCATTTCACAGAAGAAGAATAAACCTTCCTGTTAGACGCTAATGGAAGCTCAACGGGTGTCTCATCTTTTCTGTATCACACACTGAGAGGACAAAATTACCACAAAATTACCTTCATCCCATCCAAGGTTGCCGGGTAACATTAACTAAAAATAAAAGGGAGTGTCTCAAAGTTTAAACTCAGAGAGCCTCTAATGTTTGTTAGCTCCTAAAAGTAGCATGTCAGAATGGACCAGTTGTATTTTGGTATCCAATAATCCATGAATTCAACTCACTGACTCTTCTTCAACCTCATACATCAAGAACTTAGCATGGAGAAAGGATAATTCTCCAAATTACTTAGCAACACAAGCGGAATCCAGCATGTTTGGTCAGCTGGTTTTATGTGCTGTATAATGGCTGCTGGATAAAACCTAACACAAATATTTTGTTGCTCACTTACCATCCAGAAACCACTGGCTGCATTCATGTTGGCTGTGCAGGAGACGCCACTAATGCTTATCAAAGATGTACGGTTGTATAACTTTACATCTGTTTGCAGCCATTTTCACGTAAGCATAAACGTTAAGTTGGGATGCAAGGCCATCTCCAGCTTACTTGAATTTAAAGTGACAGAGTCCCTAAAACAGAACGGACCAGACTAAAGTCTCATCATCTAGGAATGATTTCGTGCAAAAAAATAAATAAATAAAATGTTTTGTATCGCCCATACACCTATCCTAACCACAATACATCGACTTTAAAACTGCACCAATTACCCTGTGAGCAGAGTTTCGTCTCCCCTGCGGATTAAAAATATGGTGGAATATTTTTTTTTTTTTTTTAGAAAATGGACGCAGAAAAGCAGCCTGGACTGAGAGGGTCCAGGTCACAGCAGTGAGTTGGTTTCTAAGCGTTTTCCTTCAGGGAACGACTCAGAGCAACATTTGGATTCTTACACGACGCATCCCGGGTAGCAGAGCCACGTCGGCTCTGTTCCCACGATAATGAAGCACCTTTTCTGCTAATGACGTTGTTTTCCAAACTGCTTAGTAATTTAAATTAAAACTGACTGAAATCTGTTACTTTTGACCTTGAATTTAAATTAATACAATCAAAATAAATTGAGATAAACTGTTAAAGTTATTTGCTTTTTGTACGACAATACGCCGATTGTTGTAAACGGGTCACACTTAAAGAAATCAGAGTTGAAGCAAATTCAATTAGACGGAACTGAACAGGCATAATTTAACTGAACTGAAAGCAAAGTGAATCAAATAAAAGAACTGATGAAATCAAATGGATTCAATCTGGTTTAACTGAACTGAAGTTAGTTAAACCTGACTGAATCCAATTCAATTCAACTGAAAAGAACTGAATCAATCTCAATGATGAACTGAAGTTATTTCAGTGGAACCGAATTTAATCGAACTAAACTGAAAAAAAAAAAAATTTAATGGAACCAGATTGAAATGAGTTGAAATGAGATAAATAAAGCAGAATCCAAACTAAGCAGATTTAAACCAAAATGAACAAATGTAGTGAATTCAAGCTTAAATTGAATCATTTGGAGTCGTGCATGACGTTACTGAACTGAATCAAATATTTTTGATGAAGCAGAAATGAACTGAATTCACAAATTAACTCAAACAGTTCATTCAAAACAAACTGGGCTGAATAAAATTCAATAGACATTTACCAACAAAAAATGATTTAAGTCTAACTGAGCAGAAATGAACTGAACTAAAACTGATTCAGTTCAATCCCAGTCAATTCAATTCTCCTGTTAAACTGAACATTCAGTTCAGTTCTGTTCAGGTCGCTTCAGTTATTTCAGTTTAGTTTTCCTGAAAAGTAAAAGATTTGTTTCTATCTGCTGTTTTAAGCTGTTTAAATATTTTGAGTTCATGTATTTTTTTTTCTCCTAATAAAGGAAAAAAATCCTAAACCAGTTGTTTGAAGGTGAATCCAGACTAAATTATTATTTCTCTGTTCTTTTTCATGGAAATTATTCAGCAGCAGAAGGACGATTTATCTCCAAATAAAACCTTTATAGTGAGCAAACAACTGAATAAAACATAAACGCAGCAAAATAAAATATGTTTTAGCATGAAAAATGGTTTTTATTCGTGGAAAACCTGGTTATTGGTGGAACTAATGATCAGAAATGAAGTTAATGTCACAGGGAAGAGGTTATTCCTCAGTTTCCATCAGGAGTAATTATCATAATCATTAATTTTAAAGCGTCTTTTTAGCTTTAACACCGAAGCATATGCAGGAGATGGAGCTGTTTAAATGTGTTTTATTCGACCTTTGAAGAGGATTTAGATGCAGGTTTGGGTAAATGGAATCAGAAATTTCCCTTCCAATCTGGTAAAATGTATTTAGGGGAGACGAACGAGGGGCATCTTTAGCCGTTTCCCTGCTTTCCCGACTGCGGCAGCCCAAAAAGACGACGCGTCTGCGCCGACTCGTTTGATCACCGAGAAAATCCTCTCGTGTCAAACTTCCCCCGACTTCAAACTTAAAAATGAAAAAAGGAGAAGAAGGAAAAAAAATCCTTAAATTAAAGAGCATCTTGGAGTGAGGAAAAGAGGAGCACAACCCTTAAAAATAGAATCAAAATACCATCCGTCATCTTTTTTTCCCCTCCAAGAAACAAGGAGAACAAAGACGGGAGATGAAAGTGCGGACAGCGTTTCCTCTCGGTGCAGCAGGTGGGAGGTAAACTGAAGGCCGGCTGGACGTTTTCCTGCTTCCTCCCAGCAGCAGATTAGACCCGCAGCCTCCAAAGTGGGACACGAGTGTCCTTGGATGTTCCTCTTTTTTAACTCCGCTTGATGTTATCATCCCTGACTCGGACTAAGTACGGCTTAATACTTCGTCCAGTAGCAATTTCAGCCTGGAGAAAGCGGCTGCGGTGAAGTAATGAAGCCTCATTGTTTGCTGCGGCTTCAATGGCGGCTTTGTTGCTCAAAAATCTGCACAATAATTTGCTTTTTTTTTTTTTTTTTAGATATCTGGACAATGCATTTTCAAGGGCACAGAGCTGATGGTGTTTGTTATTTGAGGGCAAGATAAGCACCTGGAAACAAAGGTGAATGGTTTTATAACGTTTCATTAGACGGGATTGCTCAGCCAAGGTTATATAAGGCTAACGATTAGCATTCAGACGGCAGCGTCTTTAATTGAAGTGGTCAGCAACACATTTGTTCAGCAACACATTGGTATGCATCTGATATGATGAAGGTGTTTGACCCGTGTGTGTGTGTGTCTGAATGTGAATGCGTGTGTGTGTGTGTGTGTGTGTATGTGGATGCATATGTATATGCGTGTATGTGTGTGTGTGTGTGTGTGTGTGTGTGCATACATCCCCCAAAAAAAGACTTTCAAAACAAGAAGGAAAAAAAGGAAAAACATGCAACAAAAATACCTTCGTCTCGAGGCTTGTTCATTGAAGATTCATCAGTTTTTTTTGTGAGCGGACCTAGGGTTAAGAAAAAAAGGGGGGAAAAAGAGAAAAGAGAAAATTTCAAAAAAGATTACTGGCAAAAACCGATTAAAAAAAAAAAGAATATCAAAAAAAGAAAAGAAGCAAGAGTGAAAAAAGGACAAATCAGTTCAAGAGTTCATGTTTGCTTATTGTGTTTTTTTTTTCTTTAAAAAGAGCACAAAAACAAAAAAAAAGGCATCACAGACACAGATTTATCACAAGAAAAGACACAAGATCAAAGAAGGAATCGGCTGCCATGTTTGTTTGGTTTTATTCTAAACCCTGTTTGCTCTGTTAGTGAAACCTCTGGACGCTGACTGGGCGGTAAGTGGGGTTTGAAGAACAGGACCCAAAAACGAACTGACCTCTAAAAAATGTGTAAATAATAAAAAATTAAAAACAAAAACCCTGAGGAAGAACGACAGGTTTGGGTCCTGATGCTCAAACGGGTCAGAACACGGTTTCTTATGGTGAACGAGTGAGAAAAACACACCGGAGACAAAGACAGCTTTAATAGGACGACACGGAGCCTGTAACGGTAAACAGCATGTTAAACATGTTCCTGATGAAACAGAAAGCAGGTGCTTTGGTTTGGGTTTTTTTTTTATCATGTGTGAGGTATTCTGTGTTTATTCCTCAGGCGGGAAAATAATTACACGGCGCAACAGCAGCAGCAGCTCGTCGGCCCGAAATGACAAGCGAGCGTCAGGCTGATTGCAGAGAGGATTCTGGGTAAGAGGGGAGCGCGGCCTGACCCCCGTCTGCCCACAGGATGTATTTTTACTAAATTAAAAGAGTGGCATGAAGAAAAGTGGAGAAGAGAAATGACCTCCTCTTTTATTTCATCCATCGGTGTAAGCAAACATGAGGGAGAGCCGATTTTTCTCTCTCTCATCCTTCGACCAAAAATGTAACAAACGTGTGAAACGTTAAAAACGGTTTTCCGTCTGACGTTTGCTCACTGAAGAAGCTCTCCAGATCATCTTGCACAACTTAACTCCTCCCATTCTGGATGTTTCTTGTGAAAATAGTTTGACCTTTTCTCACCTTAAAACAACAAAATTCAACGAACTTTGTAGGGATTTTAAGTGAAAGTCGACGTGAAAACGTCTGAGCAATTCTGGTTTTTGGTGGCAACTATTGAAAGAAATGCAAAAGAAGACACAGCAACCGTGTAGAAGACGATAACATTTGACTTTCTAATCTGCACTCAAATGTTTGGAGGAAAAGAAATGATCCTCTTCACCCCAGAAACACCACCTGCTCAGGCGAGCATGGTAGTGGCAGTGTCATGCTTTGTAGAAGCTTCTGTTTACCAAGAACAGGGAGACTGGTCACAGTTTGAAGATGGAGCTACAGGGAAGGAAAACTGTAAAATATTTGAGTTTCCAGAAGAACAACAACCTTAAACATGCAGCTGGATCTACAAAGTGTTCAGAACTAATAATATTCTGGTTTTAGAAAGGCCTAGTCAAAGTTCTGACCTGAATTCAATTGAGAATCTGTAGTAAGACTTGAAAACTGTTGGTCCCGATGAGCAGCCAAAAATCTCATTCCTGATGCAGAAAAACTGGTAGAGATGTTTCCCAAAGAAAATCAGGAGTGAAAGATGCTTCATTATTTATTACTTACTTGATTTTTTAAGCTAAAAAAAACCCTATTATATTCTTTTCACATCAATTTACTATTTTAATTGGTCCATCACTGAAAATCCCTGTGAAAAACACAAAAACTTTGGTAGCAACGCGATAAAATGTAGATATTTTTAAGGCGTTTGAATAATTTTCCAAGATAAAACATCGACAGTCTTTGTTTTCATTCTACAAATGGAAACTCTGCGAGTTTTAAATATCGGCTTTTTCCCTGAAATTTTAAAAGGATCTGCTGTTCAACAATGAAACAGCTCAGCCTGGAACATTTAATATTCACTAAAGCACAAAACCTTCACATGAAATATTTAATATTTAATATCAGATGTTTGTCTGAACTCAGCTGGAAACCTCTGATGAAGGAAGTCGGAGTTTATTAGTTGGTTTGACTCTTAAAATGAACCAGCTGGACGGGACTCGGTTATTTTTTCTACTTTTTGGTATTTTTTGTGCTGCCACAGCAGTTAAACCAAAGCCTCTCCAATTATGGACATAAAATAAACTCATGAGATCCAAATAATGTTTCTAATTTTTGAATAAACAAGTAGGGAACAGCTTGCTACGTTGTAAAAATGACCTGATATTTAAATCAGAACCATTTCCTCTGAAAGTCTGATTCTTCAGAAATGGCAGAAAACTCTGATGTAAATGTGCAGAGACTCTGCTGGGTTGATGTATTGATCTCATTAAATATATATTAAAATAAATTTCACCAGATACCAGAATTAAGGTCCATTTTTTGTAATAACTGTCACAGCCTAAAACGACAGGCTGTCATTTCAACATGAATCACATTAAAATACAGGATTACATTCATATGTGGCAAAACTGGGAAAATTCCTCATTTAACTGGATGGTTTCTGCCTTTTGTGTTCTCTTAATTTGATTTTTTGGGGGGTTTTCCCCAAGAACAAAAGTGTAAAAATGAGACGAATTTATGCATTAATCTGTTTAGTGTCAGGAAAATTCAGATTTGGAAAAACTTCAGGCAGTTTTCCATCACAACATCTTGCAGAAACATCTTTTTATCCAAGCGCTGAGTCCAAATGTGAATTTCATATGATCCAAAACTGAATGGCAATTTCTTGACTCGGACGTTTCTCAAACGTAAAACAGATTTGTTTTGGTACTCCAAACTCTGAAAAGGGCTACAAATAAAACAAATGTGCCCTTATCTGTGTTTTATTTTTGTCAACTCAAGGATATCCTGGCACAACACAAGATGTTCCAGGAAGTTGGTACATTTTGATTTGGCCAAATCGCTCCTCTTAAAACGTCTTGAATCAGGATTTTTCAGCTTTTTTTTTTCTCCCAGTAAAGGTCACAAAAAGTCCCTTTGTTGCCATTCATCCTGCAGCGCGGCGCCGACGCTAACCTTCCACCCAATCACATTTAATTTCAGCAGAACCAAAGTGGAGCGCCGCGTTGCGCCTGATAAGTGGACTGGAGACGGTTTTCTGAGTGGCTTCGGCCGAACGCATTAAAACATGCAGCAGCAAAAACGCAGCCAGGAAGTTAATTCACGAGGAGTTTAAATCTGACGAGTCCCGGCGGTTCCTGCAGCCACAGAGTGCAAACTGAGCTCATTAAAAACTCATTCTGCTCTCTGTTGCTTATTTTAGAGGGACTTTTCTGAATCAAGGTGTCTTCTGGAGTTTCAGGGAAAAAGAGATCAGGATGATGATGATGAGGAGGAAGATTGTTTGGTTTAAAGTCTGGATGTGGATTAGAGGCGAAGAAAAAATATATTACTCCTACAGAGAATCGTAATTCGTAGTCCTGGGAATTCAGAATCGATTCAAAATGCTTAAAATTACTAAATTTTGAACAATATAATGATATTTTTTCTACAGGAAAAGCCGGGCAGCTAAGTGAACCTAATGCTGATCATTTGAGTTACAGACTTAAACCCAAACCTAATTCTGTTTAAATATAAACTGATGAAATTTGAAACTTTATAGAATCGTTTTAAATGTTCTCTTTGTTTACAGTTTGTTTACAGTTTTCCTCTTGTCAGTTTCACAACTTAAACAGCATCTACAAAACGTTTGATATAAAATTCATTTCTGTATCGAATCGTGACATAAAGAAGGTTTTCTTCTCCAACGTGGATCAGCGTGTCGACATTTCAGACCAAACGCACATCTAAAGTAGAGCTGAAGGTCAACATAAAAAGTATTACACAATCTATATTTGCATGTTGTTGCTGTGCTGGGATCAAACAAAACATTTCCTTGCAAAATACAGAAGCAGGGAAATTTTATCCTATAAGTTCCATCGCAATAAGTTAGCAAACACAAACTGGTTCTTGTTTTTTGTACACAGTCACAGAAAAAAGAAATGCTAAATTTAAATTGCAACATATATACACTTAAAGATCTTGAGTCAAAACACATTTTATTCTGAACTCTGGTGCAGAAAACTGGTTAAAATGCATCTATTAGCTGCATGTTCATGTTAGTTTGTGTAAAATGGAGATGAGACTGCACATTTATTAGCTACTCAGACTAAGAGACAACAAAAACTGTTCGATTGTGACATCACCCTGTGAAAATAACTGAAAATAGTTCCTTATTTTCTTCTTCAAAACGTTTTTGTCATGTTTTATTTTTGGATTAAGGATGAAAATCCCATGTTTGATCGGCTCTCGTCCATTATTTTACAAATCTCCAAAACCAAAAGGCATGAAATAAATAAAAAAACACAAATGAAATATTAACAAATATAGAAAAACATTGCAAAAACATTATATTGAAGCAGAAAAACTTTCAGTATTCAAGATGTTGCATGAACTGACCACTAGGTATCGCGAAAGAACGCAAAAGACGAAAAATCCCCCATGTCCACTAGGGGGCTCTGTTGAAACGAAACATTTTAGGTTTAAAACAGTGAAAATATCTAAAAACCTGTAACTATTAATCCATGGCTGTTTCCCAGGTGTAAACATGACAGGAGGTCATTTATTTAAGTCACTGGATGTTATGAAAAGTAAAATAGACCTGAAAAACTCACTGATGAAGAACCGAAGACGTGTGGGTTCTTGAGAACCCGTTCAGAATTCAAAATAATGAAACTGGAACAAACATAAATAATAATAAACATAAATAAGCTTTGAATGTCGACAAAAGATAAAACAATACTTACGATGTTTCTGTTGTTGAACTGAAACAGTTTGTGCTACAAAATTTAGCACATCTACATAAAAACTAAAAAAAATATCAACTTTATTTCATCAGTCAGAGATTAAAGTCATAGAAAACCTGATGATATTCAGGTTTTTGCACACAGGAAAAGTGAAAGATTTCTCTCTCTGTAGGACCAAACCTGGAGAAACGTTCTCGGTTT